CAATGGAACTAGATAGATAACATGAGGAATTTTTTTACCTCAAATCGATTAAAAGCGTTTTGAATCAGTATCTTCATGTTTTAGGGCCGAATTCAGGCTTAAAAAATTACAAATTAGCGATCTCGGTAAGAAAGCGATTTCCAGATTGTATGCACTTATGCGAGTGATTTGCGATCTCACATTTTCTAATCGCTAATTCGTGGTTTTCACGGACGAATTTCTCCACTTAAACAGGATGGCGCATTCGACTTTTATTCGAATTTAACAACCTTTAAATGGATAATTTGCTTTACTTCAAACTTTCTTAAGGGTATACAACATATTAAACCCATGTAACAAAAAGTTAAGTTAGATTCCGACCCATATTCCGTTTAATAATATTGCATACAGCGCCATTTCCCCCCCCCCTGGTGGTGAGGTTTGGAACTTTCCCTTTTTTTCGCGGAAAATAAATTCCCTATGACCTCCTTTACACGATTACCAGGTTTGATAACATTTGATCCAGTAGTTTTTTGTTTTATGACCGTTTTCAATGTGGAACTTTAATTAAATAAACCCTGTATATTATTAAATTTTAATTGAAGCTATGCGTTATATGTGTACCATGCGTAAGATTTCCGCTTTTTATAGAAAAAATAAAGAATCGAAGCAAATATACTTAGGATAATGGAACAAAACTGAAAAAAAATTCCCCTACCTCCGAAAATAAAATATTGAAACTTCGACCTTGAATTTATTGGATTATCGAAATATTCAATATGACCTATCTTCTAAGTCCTAGTTCCGACAACAATTTCATCAAAAATTCCGAATTACTTAAGCTGATGTAAAAGATTTAGCATATATTCACTGTATGTTAGTAAAGTAATCAGAGTGTAATAAAAATAGATTATAGAATTTACGCTGATGCAACCTTTTGTCTGACTGCACAACATGTAATGGAAGAGAAGGCTTGTAGAGATCTGTTTTTGACATGCCTCTAAAAGTAGATGTCATACTCCTTTTGTCTCTTCAATATCAAAAAACTTTCCTTTGAGAGGCAACTTTAGTTTTTGGGAAAGAAAAAATATCACAAGAAGACAAATTTGAAAAACGTGCAGGACGATTGAGTACACATACTTATTTTCGGAACATAAGCGGTTCTCCGACTTGGTTATTTGAATAATGAAAAGATGCATTATCATGCAATATAAAACATTTGGAATACATTTTCTGACCTGAGTAACGTAAGATTAAAAGTCTTCTGCTTAATTCACAAGTCATTTACAAGTCAACTACTTGGGGCAATTGCAGAATCGTTTGTGATCCTGAGCTTCTAAGACAAACGCAATATCACTGGATTTAAACACTTCTTTAATCTTCCGAGAATGTTTCCTTCCTTTAGCTCATATTCCAAGAATATTAAGTGAATACAATTATTGCAAAAGAAAATGAATATTCATTTGCACACTACGGCTTGGTTGTTCTGCTTTTTGTGTCTAAGTATACAACAATATTTTAAATATTTACAAATAAAATATTAAATTGGAGATTTAATTGGAACCTCACCAGTTGCCAGCATTTGAAGATTGTTAAATACTAATTGTTTGTTGCGAATTCTAACCCAGAGTTTTGCATGGTTAGTTTTCGTAGTTTTCTAGGTTCTCTTTACAAAGGTTCTCTATGAAAGCATCTTAACCAAATAGCTCCCATATTCTTTCTATGTTCAAATAACCAACTAACCTAGTTTAAGCGCGATTTCCAAATGAAGTTACTAGCAAAACCCGAATACTCATTAAAAATCATGTAGCTTGCCAGTCGGGAGTAACATGAAAGATACGGCGCCAATAATTGAATTGCTGTTAAGGTACACTGTTTCTAAATTTAGATGGTCATTCCTTAATTAAATAGCCCACCAGCGGCCGAGGGGTAAAGACGCTGAGCACTGGTAGTTCGGTCGGAAGTTCGAATCCCGCGAACGGGCTGGCTGCATGGGCGTTTTAGTGGTTTTCCCCCTGTGTAACGTGTATACGAGCCAGTTTACCTAAGAAAGTCCTCCACGAAGGCATCCTCCCTTTAGGCAGATAGCCCTCGTGTGCTTTGCCATAATTAAATAATCCAATCCAATCCTTAATTAAATATAATTGATTTGTAACTTCTACTAGAGCTGACGGTAAAAATTGAAGTGCAAATAAAATAATCGTGTGCAATCTTGATTAATATAAATTAAAAATTTTGCATAGAAAAATATTTGCATTCAGACAGAAAGTTTTTTGAAATATTTGCAATTACTTTATAAGAAGGATTTATTAATAACCGTAATAATTACTTATTATATTACTGATGATTAGGATTCAGTTCTTGACAATTACATTCTAAATTAGAATTTTAAGGATATAATGAAAATAAGCTACGCACAAAAATACATTTTTACAGATTAAATTGACATTAAATACAAAAATACAGAATGTTGGGTGGTCGTTTATATAATTATTCTTAGCTTGTCCACAGAATCTGCTGACTTATCCAGCCATTAAGTAGCTGCAGATCATTTCTACATAACCATTGAACTTCCATTAATTCAGTCTCTACAGGGTTGTATGTTTATATCATAATTTGACTTTTTAAAAATGATTATTCTAAATCTTATATTTCTATTAAAATATACTATGCTTTAAAAAATATGGATGAGATAGGTCTGCCGCTCTTTCGGCCATTTCAAAAGCAACAGTTTGTTTAGAAATAATTATGCAGTTAATGTCATAAAATTTTCATTAAATTCAAATAAACATTAAACGAAATTCTCAGTTTTAGACAATTCGATTTAAACGAAGTAAAGTAGCAGACGATAAAACGCCGAAGGTAAAAATTTACTCTTAGAAAAACGTACTCTTATTTTTTTAAAAAAAGGAAGAAAGAGAGAAATTTTAAAAAATTGTTAAAAATTTGAATAATATCATCTATAATTTAAAAAATAGATTTTCAAAGATAGTATTAATAAATATTTATTACGCCTTATTGTGGGAAAAAATTTCATATAATTAATTCTCCGTAAAATTTTACTTGAAATTTAAGGTTAAAAATAGCTGTGGCAATACAGTGTAACAAAAATCCATAGACCACATTTGGCGTTATTATCGCTCAAAAAAAAAAGATGCCAAATTTCAAAACGCGAAAAATATGTAAATTCGTGTATATCTTAGAAAATTTTGAATAAAAAAGTCTAATTTTTTTGCAGATATGCTTAAAAAATACACCACTTTATGATGATGGTAAAAATTTTATAGGTTATAATTCATCAAATTTTTTTCGAAAAATTTATAAAAATTATTTAAAAATAGAAATTAAAAAAATAAAACACAAAAAATGGGTAAATTTTATTTGGAATGAAACCTAAATTTCGAAATGTGAGAGAAAAAATAAAAAAGTTTAGTAAAAAAAGAGATATTAATAAATATTTGCCAAATTCAATTAACATTGAGGAGCTAAAATTTTGAGAGCTAATATTTTAAAAACTACTCGTACGATTTTTACAAAACTTGGTATTCTGGCATAATGTGAGCCGTAGAATCGAAATATGGAAAAAAATTGGTATGTTATTTCAGAAAAAGTCCGATTTTGTGTTAAAATACCTATGTTAGAATAGTGCTATATATAAATTTAATATATATCCTAAGTCGCGCTTTCGAGACATGAAAAACGCAGTTTGAATTTTGTCAATCGGCCCAGTAGAACGGGAGATATAGCACTGTCCCATTTTTTTTTTTTTTTTTTGAGCAGTGTACATATTCATCTCTTGATCAAAGGAACTTTTGTTTAGAAGAAATTCAAAATTATCATTACAACAATCAGCAAACACAATTCTAATATTAAACAGTACTCTTTTTCCTTCCATATTATTATTTCTAGAAGATGTTCTTGGCAAACAAGATTTGTGCATGCACAAATCTTAGGCATCAAATCATCCATGAATTTGAGATGGGAATTTGTAGCTGACTCAGCAAAATTATAGACTTAGCACCAATTCATATTTGCTTCACTGTGATTCAGTTCCTGTATTAGGTTGGCATAAAGTTTAACATTTAGAAGGGAATGGTTTGGTGTGACCTTTGCAGGTAATTTGTGATGGTCCATCCTTGTTAGTAAGACAAATCCACTTAAAATTCAGGGAAGCTAATTATCTGAACACATTGAGGAAAGGGAAAAATTTTCAGAACCTGGCATTAAAAGGTTAGAGGGGAATACATGAGTAAATACGGTATAATTTTCTTTGGTACAACAGTGCTCTAAAAAATTCTATGCTTTCTCTTTTGTAAACTTGAAATTGCCAAATGCCTTTAAATCTTAATGTAATTTTTACATTAAAAAAATAATTTTAAAGGCATTCAAATTCAGCAGACATTTATTATTTATTTTCAGTATAATGCTACAGTTTATACATGAGAAATTTTAATTCTACACTTAAAGATTAACACATGATCATAAAAATAAATTCTCAATACTTTATAAATATTTAAGGTATTTATATGCATACTTTATAAATATTTAAGGAATTTATATGCAATTTTTCATATAAATGCAATTTACATATGCAATTTTGAAAAAAATTTTGATACATATTTTAAAAGTATTTATATACATGCATTTAACTTCAAACCTGATAAATAATTTTAACAATACATTTCTTTGTAATGTAAGTTTTAGACAACTTAACAGATAGGAAGTTAGTGGAGACAGTCCACTTATCCAAAGTATTCAGGGGTAAGTTTTAGACAACTTAACAGACATGGAAGTTGGTGGAGACAGCCCACTTATCCAAAGTATTCAGGGTAATGCATGAGCACTAACACAGGATTAAAAAAGGACAATGTCTATGTTTATGCAAGTATTGTTTGCTTCATTTTATTGCTGCAAACAGCATAAACTTCTTTTGTTTTTCTTCCTTTAGTTTTGAACTTTATGTGTGGCAACAAGATAATTGATTGATAGAATTGTGTTTGTGACAGCCAGTAGAATGGCTCGCTTATTTTGTATCAATTATTTCGCATCGCTGACATCTTATTTATAATTAGTGTAATGAAATAAAAGTGAAGGAATACAGTCCATGTGTTAAATGATTATTGTTTATGAAACATATTAAGTAAAGATCAGTTTATGTAATGTGGTATGATGTAATAAACTCCACCTTCCTTACGTACTGTCAGGTTGATTTTTTTTAATCTAAACCTAATGGTATTCATAGACATAAAATAAATTAGCAGAATGTTTCCTAATAAACAAATAGACAAATTTTGCATAAATTTTTAACACTTTATTACATTTTAAATATTTTTTATTGTTCACAGAAATCCATACTCAAACATGGCAGTCAATTAATTAAAAATGTGTAGGCCCAAAAGCACTGTTAAAGATAATGGTAATACGAGGTAGAGAGAGACAATATCATCAGATTACATCTGCATGCCCAATCAAAAATGGAATGAAGATGAGCGAATACATATTATCAACTCTCAAGACCTATGATCAGAGACATACAAATGTACCTTTTCACAATCATTCAAGACCTTTTGATGTAACTAATACTTGGGCTTGAGATAAGCAACAACAAACATAAACTAATTAAACTACTTTTAAATTCATTTTAAAATAAATGTTATTTTTATTTACAAAAATACAATACATAATCTCATTTATGCCTTAAGTAAGTTCAAAGAGAAACTGCTCAAAACAGATTATTCACAAGATCTCACCATGCAACTAGTACTGCTATTCAGAATAATCAACAACATATAACTTTTTGAGTTAACTGCCTTAAACTAATTCGCTTGTCAATCGCTAAGTTGGTTACTTACAGCTATTAAAATAAAATTTTGTATAATCTTTCATATTGCATTTGCAACTGATTTATCTTAAAAAAAAAAAAAAAACTTTCATTCTCCAACATGCAGCACACAAAAATACGAAAGTATATTTATGTCAGAATAGCCAAAAAAGAGAACTTTTTTTTTTTTAAATATGAAGTTATGAATAATGACTAATGTCTTTAATTCATGGTGTGCATGGTTTGGACCCTAGTGGTTAAACTGATGGTTGTGGCTTTCAAGTCACAACAAACCATATGAAAATAGTAACAAAATTATAGTTTAATGTAAACAAAAGATTATTGATCTATAAAATAACAGTTTTTTTAACCTTAACACAGACAAAAAAATATTTCCACAAGGTGAGTCATAGCCTCTAGCTGCATATAATTCATAAAAGCTCTTGCTTGGATTATCTTATGTTAAGGGTTCTTTTCCGTTAAAGCCTTACCATTTAACCTCCCCTTTTTTGGCATATATTTACAGTGCCAAGTATTCCTAGTTTGACGTAGCTTATTTCCTCACAAGAACTGTATTATAATCACCACTCCCTCTACTGCATTTTTCATATAATTATAGCTATCTTTTTTCACTGTGATGAACTTAACAATTTAGAATTTTGAAGTATTTCACAATAAATCATTAGCATCATATATTTTTTTTTAATCTACACACTAGGTGTCATACCCAATCTGTTGAGTGCTTGTCAGGTACTATAAAATAGTGCAATAAATGCCAAAGACATAATATATATCCATGTTTAACTTCTTACTTAATGGAGCTGGCATGGCATTGCATGCATTCTAAAGGAGAAAATGTTTTGCTATCTTAGATGACATTTTTAATTGCATGCCTTTAAGATTGCATGCAATCTTAAGATTTTTTATAAGGCAATGTTTATTGAATTTTATTTTTGTATATTTTGATTAGTCATTTAAGAATAAGAATTAAAATAAAAATTAGAAGAGGTATCTAATATCAAGCCAAGTATACGAGTAACAAAATCAGCCAAAATGCACAAATATTACACTGAAAAGAGCTGATAGTTAGCTAAGAAGAATTACTATGGAGATGTTACATAAGATATGCATAACAACTTGTGATAAATGATTATCAACATCAACATAATGATATAATAATAAGTGACTTCACAGTGGTACTAGAATACAATTTAAAAGAATACAATTTAAAATTATTAAACACAATACAGAATTATTAAACACATTCACAGAATACAATTTAAAATTATTAAACAGTCCGCACTCTCTTCCAAGAAAGTTTTAAACAATTTTTCAATTTCCAAGTACCATATTATTAAGAATTACACAAGTTTGAGACATATTTCCTAATCTGTGTTGGAAAATGTTACACGAATCCATAATCTGAACCATGTATGTATTTTACAAAGATTCTGTTTTCATGCAAAGATATTTTAATTTCTCATTTTTTAAATTAAAAAATTTATAAACAATTAACTGGACTGTCAATTTAAAATTAATTTATCTGCTGTATTTTCTTTCAGAAATGTGTGCTGAGAAGAAACCATACTGAACTTAAAACACTATCTTGTTTACCTTAAAACATGGAAAAGAGAGAAAGGTTTTATTATTTAATCTATTTTACATAATGTTTTGTTAAAAATTTCCAAATTCCGATAAAATATAACATATCACACTTAAAAATCAGAAATACCATAAATTAAAGCTTAGCTAAACAAAAGCACTGAGATTATTTACCTTTTAACACCCAAAATGGCATAATAATTCCTCTTTTTTGATTGTTTTTCAAGTTTTTGTGCACGATGTAAGCCATCATGAGCTCTTTGCGAACGATCATTTAAATTTGTTGCCTTCTGAAAATCGTGAATAGCTTAAAAAAAAAAAAGAAAAGAAAAGAAATTCTTAATTTGAAAGTTAACATTTTTTGGCACTCTTCCATTATGCACCTGGCAGGCATTTTGGTACCTGTGAAAAAAGGGGGAGACATAACAACAGTTACAGCTGGGAACCAAACGATTTGTCAATTCGCACACGTACAGAAATGAATGGCATGTGCATAGTGGAAAAGTACCCTTTCTGTTAATACACACACAAAAGAAAAAGGAATGTAGATTACATATTGCAATAAACATTCAAAAAAGTAAAACACATACCATCAGCATAATTTTCGTCTGCAAGATAAGCATCTCCTCTTTCACATAATATATCTACATCATCAGGTTTTATTTTTAGAGCAGAAGTACAAGCACTGATTGCTTCACTTGTTCTGCCAGCCTAGAAATTTTTATTAACAATTCAATCATATAATTTACCTATATAATTATTAATAGGATTTCTTAATCTATTCCCATTATTAATATACAGGTTTTCAACTATAAGAAAAATAAGTAATTGGTATTTTATCAGATTAGTTTGAAGTGTGTGTTCCAAATGGCCAAGGTAGTCATGTCAATATGCAAGTGCCAAATTATATTTCAAAGATGTTAAACTTTCACCAAACATAAACATATGACAAGTACCTTTTAATCTGTTGTACTATTCTGGTATCAGTTTAAAACTTAATGTTTAAGATATTCACTCATTAAATTATAAATTTAAAAATTACTGAAAAATGTATGAAAGACCAAATATACCAAAAGAAAAGTTCAAAAAGCATCATTTAACATCATTTAAAATACCTAATAAAAGTTAACAGAAATAAATGTATAATTAAATATTTCAGAATTCAATTGACTACTCAACATAAACAGATAACTTACTTTGTTTTCACATATGCACAGCTTAGCTCTTAACAGATACATCATATAAGGTACTTTAGTTTCAAGAGGAATGGCTTTCTCAGCACGTGCTGCACAGTCCACATAGTTGCCTTCATTGACAAAATCTTGAATTGCTTTTAAATGAGCAGCTATTTTTTTTACATATTTGTAATGCTTAAAACATCCTTTATGATCAGGATCAAATCTCAAGCATTCTCTAATTGCACTGTGAATAATAAAATATCACATATTAAAAGTTTAAAAAAAGCATCTTTTACATATTTCTTAATGAAAACAATATTTTTTTTCTAATTAATTAAGAACACAAAATACAGAACACAGTTTGAGATCTAGATTCATCGGGACTATGGAACATCAGATTAAGTCTAGTAAAATTACATGCAGAAATTAAAATATGAAATAGTGATTTTGATTTATAAGCATCATAGAATCAAAATTTCTTCCAATGTAAGCTGTTCAATTTGCTTTGTTTTTTCATATTAATACATTCTCTTTATTTCTACAGATAGACATAATTTCTTGTTCAGTTACAAATTCCATTGTTCAAGTCTTTAAAATTGCTGCGTTAAGAATTCCCAATTAATTGTCAATTGACATTTTTTTTCCTTCTCAACATCCTCTCTATAATGTTTTATTGGTATATTTCCTGTATTCAAGAACCATACTAAAGATTTCACCATCTATTACTTGACTGATGTTTGGGGCATTGTCATCATAACGAAAAACTTCTGTTATATGATCTTCCTTTATTATCACTTATCCATATTTCTTCAAAAATTTCATTACTTGGAAAATTTTACTTTTTTGTGTGTATGATATATAAACACCTTCAAATTTGCAGCAATCATCATAAAAGCTTAGCTAGCATCTGCTACACACTATGGCGATGTACTACAAGACTAATGGCTAAAAACTTTTTTTTGTTTGTTTCTATCACACACTAACAAAGTTAAGCCAGAATTATATTACTTACTTTTATACTTACCCGTTTCCCAAACATACTTGGGTACGTGACAGTGTTTAACACATGCTTAGCCAAGTCCCGACTAAATAAATTCCCACATAGTACTTAAGGCAGTGGTGCCCAACCCTGTGCTTGCGAGTACAAGTGTGCTCGCCAATCGTTTTGTATGTGCCCGCCAGCCCGATTAGGTACTATGAACAAAAAATATTTTAAAAATAACCATTCATTTATATTTCTTAATTGTTAAAATATGATAAGCATTTACAGTCATTAGAGATATCTTGCAAGATGTTATAAAATAACTCATTGCTGACTGATGAACTTGATAGCGAACATGGAATCTTACTGCTTCATTCCGATGTTAGATGGCTCAGCAGGGAAAAAGTACTTCAACAATTGGTACTATTCGGTTTTGAGGGCCGTAAAAAACCACCAAACTATTGTTGGTGCCAGTGCTGCCAAAAATAACTGCGGCAACCCAAACGCGAAGTATAATGGTAAATAACTATCTAAGATTGATGTTTTAATTTAGATGAAAGGTTAATTTCATATAATACTTTTTTATTATTATAATTTATATAAAAAAGGCTAAACATGACTGAATGGAAGCATAAGAGCAAATAGATTATTATAATTTATATAAAAATCGCTAAACATAACTGAATGGATGCATGCATCTCTATTTCGCTACTGAGTTATCGCTAAAGCATAGTTTCATCTCGTTGGTTGTTCAAACGTAATTTTCTATAATGAATGATGCCTTTTCTTTGAAAAAATTCTCGGAAAAGTGCAGAATCGCCCACTTATTTGTTTGCCGCTTTTTACAAGGGTAAAAACAATTGAACTTTTGTCAGTTTTCTTTTACTTTTTTTTAAGTGAAAATAGGTTGATGTGTACGTGGATACCGAGTATGTCCAATTCTTAAAAACGCGCCAAGCAGTGGGTGATTCTGAACTTTACCCAAAATTCTATTGCACACTTTTCGTCATGGGCAATTCCCAAATTGTTAAATCCATAGGATATCAAAAAAGGATTTAAAAATTAAACTAGTATTTCCGTGGCGTCTTAAAAATATAGAACTATATAAACTTATGCAATCTGAAATCCGCGCGTACGCTAGATTTGGCGCGCTGTTCAACGGGCGCGTTTGCTAGATTTGGCGCTTTTGCGCATACATTTTTGCTGCAATTTTTTATGGTCCTCAAAACGGAATAGTACCCAACAATTTGTAGAACTTCTTTTGCCAATAAAGTAGTTTTGGGAATCCGGAAACGAAAGTTATAAAGAATTGGACGATAATAATTGGTTATCCGATTTGTATTTTCTCACGGATATAACAGCTAAACTGAACAAAGATCTCCAGGGAAAAGAAAGAAACCTTTTTCAATTGACTGGGACCATAACGGCTTTTCAGATAAAGTTAAATTTCTCAATAAATCAGATGAAAGACAAAAATTTCACCCATTTTCAGAATTTATCAAGCCATATTAATAACCATAGTTGATGTTTTGGAAATGTGTTAGCGATAGGCCAAAGGTTGAGCACCACTGACTTGAGGTTTATCCAAGGTTTGTGCTATACTGCCAAATGCCTCTCTAAATTTAAAAAAAAAAAAAAAAAAAAAAAAAAAAAAAAAAAAAAAAAAAAAAAATTGCTTCACAGTGCCTTCCATAAATTCTAAAGATTTTGCCATTCCTTAATTTTGCTGCTCAGTGCTTCTCTAAATCCTAAAAACTTTGCCTCTCCTATCCTACATTGTCACCTGATGCAGTCACACCAGCTCTGGCACTGGTACTGAGCCTATCTGAATAACAAATCAGTTAATCTCAATTCAGACAGCATTAAATGTAAACTTTTAGCTTATGAATATCATTTAGAAAATCCATTTTTTGCATATGGAAAGAAATTGTTGGTCAACACATCAAACACATGGCAGCAGAGCAAACTGAAGTCTGAAATCATCACCAAGTTACAACATTGCCAATCAGCATAAAAGGTTACCATGCTCTCTGGTATTAGTTACTAAAATTAAAAAAAAAAAAAAAAAAAAAAAAAAATAGACTTTCAATGTGTTGATAGTCATGTGATGATCACAGTAAAAAATAATTGTTTGCCAGACTAACGTTAGTGAAATTGACAATCTCTCCTCTCAACATGTTTTCTTATGAAAAATTATTAAATGGGCAAGCAAAAAACATTAAGCTACAGTTTTTAAAAGATTGGTGGTAATCCAGGATTATTCCAGATACCTGAACGTCCAAATTTTGGACTTTACACTGGATCTGAATATGTTACTTCATTAAGAAAATCCAAACACTGAACAAAGCAAGAAAATAACTCCTGTAGAACAATTAAAGATAACAGATGGAAACAAATCATTGGAATTTTTTAATAAAACTCAACCTCAGACTTAATTTGCTCTACAAATTTCAATGAAATTTAATGAACATTTTTCAAAAGCAATATGTTGTAATAGCAATTATTGAAAATATATTACAAAAATTAATTTGTATAATTTCATTCAATTGAATAATACTTATTTTTTCCAAGAAGGAAGAAAAAACATTACAAAATCACTGCACATTTACCTTTAAAATCTTAATACTAATCAATTCAAACTATCCATCCCTATTTTAAAATTTAGTTCATATATTTCAATTTCTAAAATATAAAAAGTTATACTAAGTGCCAAAACAATAGAGTATGAAAAGATACAAAGAAACCAATAAATCATAATACGATAAAAACGAACAAACAGATTATTAAAAAAAATCAAGAACATACTTTAAAGATTCTTCAGTCTCCCCTATTTCATAATAGAGTTCACTCAATTTTAAATATCGCAACTGGTTATCCATTTGGGATTTTAATATGGATCGGAGGTCACTAATAGCACTTATCAAATCCCCAACAGCTTCATAACACTGAGATCGCATTTCTCTCAGTTTAACATCCCAGGGAACTTCCTGAAATGGAACAATTAAATAATGAGAATAAAATATACTTCACAAATGTTTTTAAAACTTTTTTTAGTGAAGAAAATTTGAAAAACTATTCATACTATCATAATTCAGCATAGCAGTACTGCTATTTAAGTATCAAAATAAGAATATTTGATAATTTATAAAAAATTTTGTATACTGCATGATGAAAATGCAAGATTTCAAAAATATTTAATTCCTTAAGTTAAAACTTGAAAACATAAATTGAGTGAACTATACAAATACTCACTGCACAAAATCATTTATGCATTATACATATTTTTTTTAAAAAGTAATTAAATTGTTTTTAATTAGCAGTTATTTCAAGCAAAGCTCTTTCAGAAGCCTAAACATGAGAAGCTAAATTTAAAAACAATTTTTTAGATGACTCACATTTTTAAAATTCAAAAACGTATTTTATTGAAAAAAAAATCTAAGAAAATTTTAGTATGTTAACATTTTTAAAATAATCATTAACGATTTTAAAATTTGTTGGTAATATTTCCAGAATTATTTTTGTTAAAATATTCCCATAAAAATAAATGCAGTTAAATATTTCATTACAAATGCATTTGATACAATAGATCTCTACTTCCTTTAAAAGTATTTCTATCCATGGAAATTGGTTTATATTAAAGAAACTGTTTTTATTAACATAATTCTACACATGATTATAAATTTGAATTTCATTCTGAAATTATAAATACCTGAAGCAATCGAGTTAATACAGCTATGGCTTCATGAAAATTACGATCTGCTACCATTCCGTATGCCAACTGCACATCTCTCTTTATTGGATCGATCATATTATATCCATGATGTGCATCAGGATTCATTGGATCCACACGGAGCTAAATAAATTAAACATAAAAACACATTGGAATTTTGAAAAATACATTTAAAAAGTATGTGTTATTAAAAAAAGTAGTAGAAACATTTTGGAAAGTATATGAACAAGCTGTATTTAAAACAAGTGATAGTTCTGAAGTGAACAAAGGTATTACAAAACACTTTTAAAAAATAGGTTCTTTTCTAAGCATAGGCTATAATAAAATTATTACCACTGAATGAGTTCAATGAAAAGAAATTTTCACAATCATAAAATGCTTGGATAAAAAATGGCACTTTTCTGTTTAATGAGACCGGATTCAGAAATGTATGAATATGTGTATGTATGTGCCTATATGTGTGTATGTATACACATATACATTTCTACTTACATATACACATTTCTGAACCCGGTTTTGATAACAGAATAGTACCTAAAAACAGACCTTTGAAAAATGTAGAGACAGGATATCAAGTTAAAAACAAGAAATTTCAGTCAACATAGCATTTTAAAATGATATTCTCTATAGAAAAAGTAGTTCTTAATTATCCTGATAGGCAAAAATATATGAAAATTCACATAAAATTTATAAAGCCTTTAATTTAACATGTTTAGGCCAATAACAGTAACTATAGAAAAGAGATTTAAAAAATACTTCAGTTATACCTTAGCACTATCATGCAATCAATAACTCAATAAATCAAAATATAATGTGCAGTAACATAAGCAAGGCTTACGAAATCAAATTTTATTTAGATAAGATAAGCAGATAAAAATCCTTTACATACCACACTCTCATAATCAATATGTGCCTCATCTAACTTGCCTTGTTTTAAAAGTAAATTTCCTCTCTGAAGACGAGCCTAGTTTAAAAGAAGAATATTTTCAAAGAACTTATTTCTAGCTTCTCCTATAAGAAAACAGGTTTCACAGAAATTTAACAGTTATTAATTATACTCACAGCAGAAAAGTCTGGTTTCAAATCTATGACTTTTGTAAGGTCCTTCAGAGCAGATGCTATTTTTCCAATAGCAAGATATACGGTAGCACGAGAATAATAGGTGAAATAATTGTATGGATCAGCATCTAAAAAATTTCATCATAATTATTACATAATATATATGTAGTGGGGGAGTTGAATATGCTAAATAACAATTCCAACGTTTTTTCCACACCACAGAACATTTAATAAAGATAATCAGAAAAGGTACAAATTAGATTAAATACAAGTGCCGCTTGATCCAAACATAATTCTGTATAGCTTTTGCCAGTTCTTATCACATAACCGATTATTGCTTACTCGCACTTGCTGATGTATTATACGGTTCAATTTACCACCTTCGCGTGGAAAACTACAGTTCCTTATTCTACACCTTCACGTGTAGACAGACATCTCACCACCTTCGCGTGAGATAGCAGAAGAAAGTCTCTGTCATACTCCGCTTTCACCTCGCTGCTGGCGCATCGGTGAGGCCCTCTGGTGGTTGTGTCGCACTTCCAGATACTACAACTCATCCGTCCTGACACATTTTCATCCACAAAAACACGGATCAGCAACACTGGAACATCAGACAGCACCTGAAAATAAATTTAAAAAAAAAAACAAAAAAAAAAAAGGGAAAAAAAACAAAAAGAAAGAAGTGTGGAAGAACCACACATAGTCCTATATAGTAGAAGTCCATGGCTTTATGAGATCAGCTGCTGTAGTGGTACATCCAGGACCTTCATGGTGTCCCACTTTTTCCACCTGGTAACGATCTTTGCCTTTCCTCGCTGTTACACGATAAGGGCCGAAGAACTTTGGCCTTAACTTTAGTGCACCTCCATATTGCGTTCTTTGTATGGCAACTAGGTCGTTCACATTGTATACTTGTGCCTCTTTTCTCTTCTTGTTGTATGTTTTTCTATTCTCTTCCTGAATTTTTAGAATGTTTTTTCTTGCTTCCTCTCTCATATCTTCTCGATCTTTCATCATAATATTTCTTTCTTCTTCTTCAAGAATTTCCATAATCTTTAAGTCTTCTCGATTTCTCATTTTAACACCAATGAGAAGCTCAAATGGAGAACTCTTTGTGCTTCTGCTCTTCAAGTACTGTTCAAGATCACTTCACATTCACTTCTTAGTACTGTTCAAGATCCGTTGTACATCTCCAACATTTATTTGTACCACTTGGTTGGATCAGCTATGGATAATTTGGATAGGACTGGAATGAGAGTGAGATGTATTCTATCCACTTGTCCATTTCCTCTAAGAACGCCTGTAGTTGTAAATATGTGCTGGATCTTTTCTTGACTACAGTAATCTTGACTACAGTAAAAAGTCTTTAGAGGTAAACGCCGTACCTTTATCGCTTATAATTCTCAAAGGATTATCGAAAGTTGATTGTTGCAGTTTCAGCTTTTGCAATGACTCTTGAGCTGATGTAGACTTCACTGGATAGAGCCACACGAACTTTGTGACTGCATCAACCACGGTTAAGATGTGATTGTAGTTCTTATTTGTCGAAGGTAATGGTCCTATAAAATCGATATGAAAAGTGCTCAAAGGGATACTATCTTTTGGTATGGGATTCAGAAATCCTTCGCTCTTACCTCGTTTTCTGTCGCACAAAATACATTCTACACAATTTGAAATAACTTGCTCAATTCGTTTTCTAAGGTTAGAAATATAAAAGTCGGTTTTCAGCAGATCTTCTGTTTTAGATACTGCGAAATGTCCCTTCTTGTGGATACTACGTATGATTTCTAACTCTAATGCTTCGGGTACCACAAGTAGCTCACGATCTCTGTCAAACTTGTATAATACTCCATTTTTCACTAGAAAATCTTTTCTTTAGTCCTTGCTCGACTAAGGATTTTAGCAACTGGAGACGCTCATCACTTCTTTGCGCAGCTGCAATTTCAGCTGTAATTTCTCCCTGAGAACAAGTAACCATCATGACCGCGTTTCTACTTAATGAATCCACATGTTTCATTTGTTGCCCAGATCTGTGAACAATTTCATAGTCAAATTCTTCTAGAAGTAACGCCCATCTCGCTACTTTAGGGTTAGATCTTTCTTATACATGGTCTTCTGGAAAGCATCGCAATCCGTAACTATCCTGACCTTAGATCCTAAAAGGTAATTCCTGAATTTCTTTAGAGCTTCTACTATAGCTAAAACTTCAAGCTCATAACTAGATAGCTTCTCTTGTTGGAAACTAGTTTTTTTACTCATGAAGTAAATGGGGTGTAACTGTCCATCATCTGACTTTTGTAGCAATACAGCGCCGAAACCATGACTGTTTGTGTCTGTATGCAATTCTAATGGTGCTCCTTGTTTAAAAATATGAAGAACCGGACTTGTGGATAAAAGTTCTTTCAATTTATTAAATGCATCTTTTTGCTCAGGCCCAAATTTGAATTCTGCTCCGTTACGAAGAAGATTACTTAATGGTTTCGCTATTTTTGAATAATTGGCAATAAATTTCATAAAATACCCAGTAAGGCCCAAGAAACTTTGAATCTGCTTAAGGTTTTTGGGTTCCGGGAAATTTTGAACAGCCCTGGTTTTTTCAGTAGAGGGGCGAATTGTACCATCCTCAATAACATACCTGAGAAATTCTATTTTTCTTTTAAAAAATTGGCATTTCTTAAAATTAATCTCCAAACCATATTCTTTGGCTACTTCTAAAACGCGTTTCAACTTTTCTAAACCTTTGTTCTCGTTTCATGCTGGAATAATAAAATCGTCCATGTAAGTAACAACAGTGTCATCCCGAATTAAATCTCTAAACACATTATAAATAAATCTTTGAAACACACTAGGGGACGTGCACAAACCAAAAGGTGCTTTTAGAAATTCGTACAAGCCTGCATGAGTAATAAATGCCAAATATTTAGTGCAGTTTTCCTCAACTGGAACATGAAAAAAACCATTCTTTAAGTCTAACGTCGAAAACCTTTGCTTCACCCAAACGATCTAAAACCTCTTCTACTTGTGCCATAGGAAAAGAATCCTTAACTATTTTTTTATTTAACTGCCTAAAGTCAACACAAATCCGTGTCTTGCCCAATTTTTTTCTACACAAAACAATTGGTGAAGCATATTCTGAACACGACGGCTTTATAATCCCATCCTGTAACCATTCATCTATTTGATTATCAACAATTTTTTGATCAGCAAAAGGAATTCTCCTCGAACGCTGAGAAACTGGAATATCATCTTTTAATATTACTTTCATTTTTAAGTTTGTACTGCGCGGTTTATACTCATTAATAAGATTGGAAACAGTATTGCATAATCCTTCATCTTTAATATGCCATAAATCTATTTTGCTGTCTCCCTCAATGGCTGCAGAAATAAAAGACAAAAAATTCCTTTCCGAAGAGACGGAATCATTTTCATATTGCGTAATCATCACCTGGTCACAACAGATCATTTTTAGACAGGAAGGGGAGAAAATACAGTCTGTTATCAATTCATCAACCATCGCTGCTTCTATCTCTTTTTGTTTTTTGCTTTCGCATAAAGAAAAAATAAACTTAGCCGTTTCCCCTTTAACCACGTGACCAAACGAACTTTTGAGTTCTATATATCCACTTGATAATTTATTCGGAAAAAGAGATTTCTTTACAACTATCAATTCACTTCCAGAATCTATTAAACATTTTACTTTCTTACCATCAATCAACAGTTCAATAAATTCTAACTTATTTCTAGCTGCATTATCCGATTCAATCTCTAACCCAGATACCTTTTTTGGAGACAAACTTTCCTCCTTTCCTAACCGTTTGGGACAATTTCTCGCAAAGTGAAATAATTCCCCTTTACTCCCACAAACATAGCAAATACGATCTGGTTTACTACCACCCTGATTTACAAACTTCCCTGAATCCTTGAAATTGCTCTGAGCTTTTCTAAGATTGTTTTTGGAAAAATTAAGCTTTTTATTTTCTGGAGTTTCAATTCGCATGTTACTGGTGTCAACTAAAGATTTACAGCTGGATGAATAAAATAAATCACATTCTCTTCCCAATTGATTAGGTGGGTACCAACTTTGACCCTCCCGAACACTAATATGTTCTTTTGTTTTAGAATCCAGAGTTTCATACAACTTATCAGATATAATAAGATCACACAATTTCTTAAAGTCATCTACCTCTCTTAACTTGCAATAATAATTGAAAGTTGCACTGAGTCGAGACGTGAACTGAACATGAGATTCAGATGAATGTCTCTGCGCATTTTTAAATTGTTCAAACATTCACGCGGTGTTGGCTGAAATTCTTTCAAGATTAGAGTTTTTAATTTATCATAATCCGCGATTTCTTGTTCAGAAACATACGTTAGAACATTATCACATTTATCACCTAATATATTAATCAACACTTCTGATTTTAACTTCACTGGTACACTTTTAGTAGTAAAAGCTTTCTCAAGTGACTGAAAAAACAAATGCATAGCTTCCGGTTTCTGAGGTACAGCTATAGTTAGTGTTTTGACGCTTTTAATAATATCTTCAACACTAGTCCGCACATTTCCTCTATCACTCGATAACGATTGTGATTTTAAACTTTCTAATTCAATCTGCTTCTCAATTTGAGCTAATTTAAGACGTTCGATCTCTAACAGATAGTGTTCATTACTTGTTTTAGGCGTCCGATCCTCTGCGATCGACTTGACGACGCCACGAACAAATTCAACGTTCGTTTTGAAAAACATCCGAATTTTCGATAATTTTTCTAATGCCAGCTTTTTTAGCATTTTCTGGAACAGTCTGTCCAATTTGTTCCGCAATTACTATTAAATCACTTTTCTTCAAATTATTTAGGAACTCATTTTAAAAACGAAACAAAAGTATCACTATCTTCAAGAAAGAAATAAAGCAAAGTTTTCACAGTACCTTCTCTGAAGTATCCAAATATCAAGTATCCAATATCAATTATACAAATATCGTGGTCAGACCTCCAGAATTTCTGTAGTGGGGGATTTGAAGATGCTAAATAACAATTCCAACGTTGTTTTCCACACCACAGGACATTTAATAAAGATAATCAGAAAAGGTTCAAATTAGATTAAACACAAGTGCCGCTTGATCCAAACA